TTTTTTGATAAATGAATAAATTTAATTTTTCTTATATTACAATTTTAATGTATTAAAATTGAATTAATATTTGAAATGTTAACAAAAAAAATTTAATTTAATTTAATTATTGATATTTGAAAAGAAGTTAACTAAAAACAATTACATTTATTCATTTATACATTGTTAATTATTAATTTGAAAAGTTAAATAAACATTTAAACTTAAACAAAAAAAAAAAAAAATCAAAAAGGGGTTTAACCCGGCCCGACCCGCAGCCTAACCGGACGGGTTAGGGTTGGCGGGCCGGGTTGGGCCAGCCAATCTCCCAAAATTGTCGGGCCTAACCCGGCCTGCCAATGTTGGTGGGCGGGTCAGGACCGACCCGCCAATTTGCGTAACCCGCCGCGGGCTGGGTCGAGCGGGTTACTTTTCCACCTTAAAGCACTGTAATTTTGCAATCTAGATTGTTATTTTAATAAATCAGTTGCTAACACTTATTTTTATTGGGTTTAAATTTACAAAATTTCTTAAATATAAATGCTAGTTTAGTTGCAGCAAATACAAGGACAAAATGAAAATTTTATAGCTTTCAAATTTTAAAAGTAAAATATTATTTTAATAAAAAAAATGGAAGGGTTGATAATTTAAGATAATTTAAATCCTTATACATAATTGAGGGTATATTGGTAATTTTAAATTTAAAAGGTGGGTATATAGGTAGTTTAATTTCTTGATAGGACATAAAATAATCGAAAAAATTTAAGTCAAATAGTAAATGGTATTTTTGTCTTTACAATGTATATATGTATACTTAATGAAGTTGGCCTGTGGGTGAAAAAGTGATATTTTAAAACTTTTCAGATGGAAAAGTGTCATTAAGACAAACCTTGGTGCAAAAAAGTCGTTCTCTCTTTAGAAAAATGATATCTTTTTGTTTATTTAACTTTATCATTGACATCATAGGGTTTGTTTGTTTTAGTATTTTGGATATAATTTTTGATATTTTTAGAGTTGGGTGAGAATGACGAGGTAAGATTTAAAAATTAACAAAAACACCCCTCTAGGTTTGCTAATTTCGAAACACCCTAATATATAAAAATTTTGTAAAATGACAAAAACACTGCCACCCACACTTGCCAGATTCCCATCACCACCCCCGGAATCTGGCATTACGACGCACGACCGGTCAGATCCAGCCGTTCGTATGCCAATATGACCTTTTCCGGCCAGATTTATATGGCCGTCGTTGACGACCAACTATAGTCAAATCTTTGGCCGTGGATCTGGTCTTTTCCGACCAAATTCACGATGGATCTGATCGAAAAATGATAGATTTGCACATTACCGACCATATCTAGCCAATAGTATACCATTATACCAGATTCCGACCACCTTTCGACGGTGGTGACTGGAATCTGATAAATGTGGATAAATGAAGATGTTATTGTTAATTTTTAAACTTTTTTTCTAAAGATGTTTAGTTAAATTAATAAACTTAAGGGATTTAAAATATAGTTGAAAAAAATATAATAGTATTTTGAGATGAAACAAATAGTTATTTTGAGAATAGGATATGAAATATTAAAACAAATGGACAGCTATTATGTTAAAAATTTAGTAAAAGATAATATTATCTCTTCATATGAAAACNGGTGCCCCACAAAAATTGATGGTTTGTCTCTTTCTTTTCTTGCTCTTCTTCTTGGCACTTTCTTTCCCCTGCTTTTGGTTGGAAAAATCTGTTCTTGCTCGGTCCAAGAAAACATAACTTCTTGACCCATCTTATCACTTCACCATTGCTGCAGTTTTGTTTCTTTGGTTTCTCTGAGTTGATAACAGTTTATTTTTATTTAAATGTGAGTGTTACAGTCCAACCAATCCAACTGTGTTGGGTTGCATTGCTAGGTCTGCTCTACTGAGGAAGGCAGCGTCTCCGACTAGATGGAAGTTTCCTGCTTTTGTGGTTTCCTTTGGCTCCATTGAAGTGCTTTTGGGGGAAAATGTTGTGCTGCAAATCACTGACAGGCTGCTTTCTATGTTAACCATGAAAAAGTGAATCTCTTAGGTTTATTATTCTGATAATTTTTAGAATAATCTTTTGAAAAAAATTAAATTGGGCGAGTATTACGATATAGGATTTGAAAATTAACAAAAATATCTCCTATATTTGTTTATTTACTAAACACCCCTATAATAAAATATTAAAAGTTAACAAAAACACCTCTAACTCACCCATTAAATACGGACAGCCGGCCACCACTGCCAAAGGGTGGCCGGAGTGTTTTTGCAATTTCTAAAAAAAATATTTTGGGGTGTTTAGTTAAATTAACAAATTTAAGAAGTTTAAAAGAAATTGAAAAATATAGAATAATATTTTGAAAATAATGACATTTTACTGTTTAACTTTTTTAGGAATTCCCAAAAACGAAACAAACGAATTTTTAAAAGTTATTTTTATTTGGATTTTTAAACGCAGACTTCTTGAATTTGTAGATCCTTTAATTAGCCTTTTTCTTTTGGTTGTAGAAATCTCATATTAGAAGCATATATCCACATGCTTCATTCAAATTTTGTTTTCATTTTATGTGAAATCATCTTTGGGAAGATAGGACACCAATATCAGATATGGAAAATGCACTCTTCCACTAATGTAATGCCAGGGTCTTTCAACTCATGGTAGGCTCGTCTCTCTGGCTATAAGGGAATGTTTGGAATGTTATATTAGTCCCTTGCTGCCAAGCGTCTCGCCTTGCTCAAGCAATAAAGAGATGAACTCGCCTGGGCTGATGAGACCGGTTGTAGAGAGATTTTTGAAGCCCTCAATCGTAGAAAGGAAAGGTAGGCAACCAAAGTTAGTCTGTCAGAGTCTTCAAAGTAGAGCGACAGTGGGCGTGGCTCAGGTTCTATGTTTAGGCAATGTACATCTTTGCAATGTACAATTGTAGTCGTTCACGTTTTCAAATGAAATGATTAAAAGAAGCTAGCTCATTCATCTCCGTATTAAGACGAACTATCCGGTGGTGGAGAACTCTTCGACCCGGTCAGTACCAAATGAGAGGCATTTAAGAGCATTCATTGTCAGTTTCAAGATGTTTAAGTTACCATCATACGTGGCTTTTTATTTTAAATTTTTTTTAATTTAAATTATGGAAGACCTTCTTTAGTAAATAGAATCCTGTTTATATTATATGAATGACAGTCTATTGTTATTTTCCCATAGACATCTATTTAAAATGAACGGTCATTTAATAATCATGGACGTTCGTCTATATTTGACGGACGGTTGTTCATTCACGAAATATTTGTTAATATGTTACGTGGTTGCAACTACTCAGGTGACACGTTGTTCAATGCAAAAAATTGGCGTAAAACTTCGGTGTTCACAACATTATTGTTATTATTTAACAAGACTTTTAATTGGTGCCGAGAGATCCTGATCTATAGGAGATTTTTTATTTATTATTATTTATCGGATCCTTTGTTTATGGACCCAAGGCTCAATTGGGCCGGATTTTTTATAAGCTAAAGCCCAATTTGAATTAGTTCATGAGTGATGTTATTTAAAGTACAATCTTTTTCTACATTCCAATAATATTTTCTAAAAAATCTGTATATATTTAAACTTTTAGTTACGGAAATGACCATTGAATCATTTAGTATACCCCAAATACTAAAAAAAAAAACTCTTTTTTTTTTCTTCTTAAAACTCTATTTCCTTAATTTTATTATAAACCATGTTTAGAATTTTAAATTATATTTTTAAGATTATGAATATTTTGAAGTGACGGAAGATGAATTTAATCAATGGAAAAAAATAATCATAAAAAAGGTGAGTGACATTAGTAAACAAAATAGATGATAGGGTTAACAAAAAGTTTGAAAGAGAAATATTAGTTGATGGTAATTTTGAGAAATAAATATTTTAAATATATATAATTATTGTTCTTATTGGGGTGTAGAGTGAAATTGAGTGAGGATTAAATAACACATCTCTAAAGTACATCGGTTTTTATCGATGAAGAAACTGGAAATGGGCCAAAAGAAGGCTGNGAATGTTAGACTTTTTACAATATGGTCCTACACTTCTCATATAATTACATTTTGGTCCTTGTTGATGTGGACTGATGTGGTCATACGGTTGTGTCTCTTGAGCAGTTGTCTTTGATGGAAAGACAACTGCATATAAGAAAGAGACTTTATATGTCCCCATTGATGCAGTTTTTATTTTTAGTTTCAAAACCATCACTCCAAAATTGCAGTCAGTGGAAGATCTCGTAATTTATAAAGGAGCAAGAAGAACAAACAACAATTGCTATGGCCGGAGGTTTGTCATTTACTTCCGAATATATTCCATGGAGATTTTATATTGAAATTGATTGTATTATCAATGAATATTAGAATATGAATGTGTTTTACACTGTTTACATAAGGGACCAACGTCCCTTAAGTGTGGACTACCGTCCATACATAATAGACGGGCGTTCATTAGTTACGGACGTCCATCCACACTTTCAAGTTCTTTTATTTTGGTTTTTTAAAACCACAATAAAGGACGGGCGTCTATTTAGTTACGGATGTCCATCCAAACTTAAGGGACGCCTGTCCACAATTCATGAATGGACGTCCAAATTTTTTATTTTATTTTTTAAACCAAATTAAGTTTAGACGGATATCCATTCCTTACGAACGCCCGTCCAAACTTAATAGACAGACATCCCGTATTTGCAGGCGCCCGTCCAAAATGAAAAGACAACCATCCACAACCTATGAACAACCGTCCTTAATTTTTATAAAAAAAATTTATTTTATTTTACTGATAGACGGACATCCTTTAAATGGGGATGTCCGTCCTTAGTAAATAGACCCCTGTCCATATAATATGGACATGAGTCCATGTAAATGAACGGTTGTCCATATTCGATAGACGGCCGTTCACTAGAAAAATATTTATTGTTTAATCACGCGTCTGAATTGTTGGTGTGAGTCAGGAAAACACGTAAACCGGTACACATTTTCGGTGCAAAAACCCCGATGTCTGTAGCTTTATTGAAAACGAAAAGCATCAAATTCTTTCAACCGACAAAAAAAAACACCGCTCTTACTAGCACATTTCAATAGCTAGACATAAACAAAAGCACCGAACTTCATAAAGTTCTTATTCACTCTAGGACACAAATTTAAGACCAAAGCCTGAAAGGCTACTAACATTTGTTTATAATGTGAATAAGTATCTGAATTATTCAAGAATTATTATAACATCACCCATATCAGAAGTGAAACTAAACATTGACACAGATACAACAGAATTTCCTAGACACAGGACAAGACTGTAACGCATGAAGTTGCAAATACCAAACCAAACCAAGATGCAACAAGCTCATGTGAATGCATGAGTGAGCAAGAGCATTCAGCTCTCGGAGCTATAAGAGGTCTCGCCTGCAGATAGATTTTCTTTTTGAAACCGCTCCCTCTCTTCATATGCCCATTCAAGACCAGGGCAGTAATGAAGTGGCGGATTGAATCTGCTATCATCAATGTTATCCGGCAAAAATGCTCCGTTCTCAATCAGGAATTTAACAGCTTCCCTCTTTCTTTCTTTGGCAGCAGTGTGAAGTGGGGTCCCTGGTTTTACATGTTCATAAAGCAATGGTTACCATTAGCAGTTGGGTAAGTAGCACATAATGAATAATTCTTTTTAAAGTGAGTTGCCAAAAAATTGTACTTATCAGTGACAAAAATACTTACAGCCACAAGCACCCTTGGTTCTAGCATCAATGTCAGCACCTCGCTCAAGCAATTCATCCATGACTTCAAGGTGGCCACCCTGGGCGGCAAGGTGAAGCGGAGTCACCCCTTTTGATTTGGGACCCCATGCTGACACATTCACATCCATTCCTTCATTGAGAAGTTGCTTCACCTGTTCCAGAGAATTTTTAAATCAACAACTGTTACCCAAGGTAAATTCCTGGCACAGAATGGATCAGCAGGAATAATATAATAGAAATCAAATAATATATTTCCTGAACCATATACCAACCTTATTTCAGTATAATAATAATATAAAAGTAAAAATAAAACACTAAAATACAAATGTTAAAGGAGACGACCAAAGACATATTTCAAAACAAAAGTAAAGAATTAAATTTTCAGAAGCATCTCAGGAGAAACTATACAATTAAAGAGCACCCAACTATGAGAGTTTGCAAAACCTGCATAATCCATAGTTTTGCGGCTATAATCAAACATCATATTGAAGGAAAGAAAGGCGAAACGAAAAAACATGGTAAAGATATTTAAATATTCGTAAGTTAGGTCCTTCAGGTTTTGTTGACAAGTCAAATTAATTCAAGCCGGGTCATCAGTTCATAATCTAGCAGTTCAACCCCATAAAGTTAGAAGGCAGCACAAACTTAAACTCTGTTTCATTTTACAGAGTACGTTCTCTCAATTGAGTTTCAAAAAAATCAATTAGTGTCTCTTCATGTAAGAATATAAAGGCAGCAAAAGAAAAGGCTTAAAAAGAGAGAGTAATAAATACGACCTAATTACGATTAAAAAAAAACATTCATCTATAATTAAAAGATTTTGCATTCAATACAAAGAAAATATTCCGAAGTTCTCTTAATCATTCTTCTTGTTTCCCTTCTCGTCTAACAGTTAATTCCAAGAAAATATGAAAGCCCAAAAAAGAAAAAGTTTGTCATTCAAACAAAATTTAAGGCTATAAAGAAAGAGAAGCAATAATAAAGCGTATATAAATCCTAAAAGAAAGAAACCTACCGCTTTGAGATCACCTTTACGAGCACTGATATGAAGGGGAGTCCAACCCCTATCATCCCTGTCCACCACAGACCTAAAGAAGCGCTTTTTAGACAACTTACGCTGAAAACAAAAAGGACCCAGTTGCTCTTGGGGCATGCTTTCAATCATCCTTTCCAAATTTCTTAATTAAACCAGAAACCAAACCCTGATAATCAATTATCGTTTTTGTTCGCAACAGCAAATTGATTGAAAAACAATAAACAAAGAAGCTGATTTACATGATAGGAAAAAACAAAAATTAGCGAGAAGAAGAGGAGTGATTGGCAATGCAATAAGGAGAGAACGGATTGAGACCAGGGCCCAAAACGCGAAGATTTTGACGCAGCACGACGGAGTTAATAACAGGTGAAGATGAAATAAACATAGTAATCGATTAAAAACCCTAAAAACACAGATTTATAAGAATATTTGGAGATTAAAGAAAAGAGCAATTAGACGAATCCGGGCTTGATTAGGAGAGATTTTGGAGGAAACATTAAAAGTTGAAAGCTTTTGCCCTAATCGCAACGAGAAAAAGGAATTTTAGTAGGAAAGAATTGAGAGAGAGAGAGGCCACGGAATGTTTTCAGTTTTCACACAAGATATTTTTGTTTGGGTGATGCCTGCTTTTAGGGGATTTGCTCTAACTCCGCTCAATAATATTGGGCTTTGTTGGGCCGGTCTAATTTTTTTGAGTTAATCATATTAATTTCCCTAAGATATGATAAAATAACAAAAATTCTTTTAAGGTTTCAGAAATAACGAAAATTCCCCTAACATTAAGTTCAACTGTTGGAGCCTTGGAGGTATTATAAAATAAACGATACAAAGACAATTTGGTAAATTTGATAATATTTACAAGTTTGTAATAGTATAAACTTGAGTAAACGACATATTCGCACTCGAGGTTAAGTAAAACCCCAAGTTAGTATCTCTGGTTGTATTTATTCCAAATTCTCAACCTTAAAGTGATGGAAAATTGTTTAATATAACAGTAAAAGGGTAAATTGGTCATTTTACAGGAGGCCTTGCACGTTAGCAGATCATTGCCTCTAACAGTGCTTCGACACACATTAGCATACGTCACCCCTAGCGTTTTTCGCCCTTTTTTGGTCATTCTTTTACTCAAAATCACCATTGTCACCACCATTTGAACCCTCATCCTCCCCTTTACAAAACCTTACCCTTCACAACCCCTCATCACTTGCTCATTGTCGGCCACAGTAGCTGCATCATGCGATTGTTTTTTGCCTCTTTTTTTACCATTTTGAGTGGCGACAATCCTACCTACCACCACCGTTGGACTCCTTAAATCCCCCCTACAAAATCCCTAACCTTCTCGACCATGACAAATCACTATTTATCGGTCACGATAGCTCAAAAAAAAAATGTGTTAAACACAAACCTCTCGCCCGACGAACGACGACTAAATGGTTGCTGGGGACATTGGGGTTTTGTAGAGTTGCAACTGTGGTGTCCAATCGGATTATTGTTGCCATAATCGACCAGAATCCAGCGAAGAACAACCAAACCCTAAACCTAACAGCACCCGCAATCGAAGGGGCCAGTAAGTCAAGAACCATAGGGGTTTTGGACCACCGGTTATAAGGAAGGTGATGGAGGTGACTAGGAGATTCAACGCCATCGAAAACAACCCATATCTAGCAAAAATTGAGAGAGTGCGCTTTTTTTTAGGGTGTTATTAAAGTAATTTAAAAATAAGATGGTTAATTTTTAATTCTACTAATTTGTGGGGTTAATAAGTAATTTATTAATTTATTTGTTAAGGGTATTATGGTAATAGCACCCTCTGTAACCTACAAATTTTTAACAGTGTTATTTTAAGAGTGAGAATCTAGAATAAATGCAATCAAATGTATCAACTTGAGATTTTGCCAAACTTCAGGTGGGAATATGTCGTTGACTCAATAAGCTTTAACGGTTTATTAACGGTTTTTCAAAGGGGAATTTTTGCTATTTTGGAAACCTTAGGAAGAGTTTTGTTACTTTATCTTTCCTCAGGGTTTAGAATTTAGTTTTTCTTCGAAAAATTGAGAAATAAAACCAAAATCAAATGAAAGTTTGCGTTCTTCCGCTCGTCTCCGGACTCCCGCTATTGCCGACGACAACAATGGACAATGAAGAAATATTACAGGAGTTAGATAGCGTTAATGTTGAGCTTCAACTTGTGCAAGGTGAGGTGTAAACGTATTTGAATTATGAAATTCAACATTTAATTTGAATTTTCTACCGGTACTAATTAACCTTACAGACCAGATAAAGCAGTTGCTTGATCGGCAAGAGAAGTTGCAAGACAGGCAATCGGAACTGAAGGCTGTATTGGAAGCATGCGAAGCGTCAGTGAGCCCTACGCAGTGTGGTGGTTCGGTTAGTGTGGAAGACTGGTCGGGGCCGTTTGAGTGGGACTCTCGAGCCGATGATGTTAGGCTCAATGTGTTTGGCATTTCCTCGTATCGTGCTAATCAGCGAGAGGTTATTTAGCTTTGGTTTGTTAATTACTTCATTTATTGTTATTGTTGTTTTATGCTTTCTTAATTGTCAGTAGAATGGAGTTCAACATTTTGATGGCTCTAAGTATGGATTGAGTATGCAAAAATAGATTCTTACTGGACTAGTTTTTCTGGCTCATCCGGAAATTAGTTTAACTAACATAGGCTGAAATAGGATCTAAATTGCTTCTGGATGTTGGTTTTTTCTGATTTGGAAAATTGCCAATAATTCATTTTTACTTTTGGTAACAGTTTTAATACTCTGTTCCTTACTAATGAGAATAAATTTAGTAATTAATTTTCAATCTTTACCAGATTGTAAATGCTGTCATGAGTGGGAGAGATGTTCTGGTGATTATGGCTGCGGGTGGTGGCAAGAGCCTTTGCTACCAACTTCCAGCTATCCTTCGTGACGGAATTGCACTTGTTGTCAGTCCATTGCTTTCTTTGATTCAGGATCAGGTGCTATTTGCTTATTTATTAACAAACAGTGTGTTCTGTGCAGACATTTCGCTTTATATGGCTTTTCTTACAATCATCAATGCTTTAGGTGATGTGCTTGGCTGCTTTAGGCATTCCAGCATACATGTTGACATCAACAACTACTAAAGAAAATGAGAAATTCATATACAAGGCCCTTGAAAAAGGTGAAGGAGAGCTAAAAATATTGTATGTCACTCCAGAAAAGATATCAAAAAGCAAGAGATTTATGTCGAAACTCGAAAAGTGCCATCGTGTTGGTTGTTTTTCTTTAATTGCTATCGATGTGAGTATATGATTCAATGTTTTAGACTTGATTTTGAATGCGTGCATATATATATACTTTTTTTCAATTTTTTTTTTTTTTTTTTTTTTTTTATATTTTGACCATAGGATTCTTGACAGACAATTATTAATAGTTTATTCTAGAAATTCTATAGAATCATTTCGATGCTTGCATACAGTATATATCATTGTGCTTGTTGTATGATAAATTTATTATGTGACACATATTGGTGCCAGATGTCAGCAATTTATAATATAATTCACTAGGCATGATACGATGCCAACAAACCTGATTTTGATTATTAGCCACACTAGGTATTCTTGATATCGACCTGTTGAAAGGTGATCTCATTTACTGAATTTCATCAATGGGAAGTGTTTGATTAGTTGGGCTACTTTGCAGGAAGCTCATTGTTGTAGTCAGTGGGGTCATGATTTTCGTCCTGACTACAAGAATCTTGGCATTCTTAAGACTCAATTCCCCAATGTTCCTATGGTGGCTTTGACTGTATGTTAATTTCTCCCTCTGTATATACCTATCTAAATTGATCATCTATTATTTGTGTACTAGCTGTAATGTTTTGGTTAATTTAATGAAGTTTAATTTCTAACCTATATTGCAGGCAACTGCTACCCAGAAAGTCCAATATGATCTAATGGAGATGTTGCACATTCCAAAATGTGTTAAATTTGTCAGCACGGTCAACAGACCGAATCTCTTTTATATGGTATAGTTATTGGTGATCTTTGTTCAACATGTGTAGTTTCCAACTTAACAATCTAGTTGCTAATGTGGTGATTCCATTTGGGATGGTATATTGCCAGGGGTGTAGATTTCTTTGTATAGGATCAATATAGCGTGTATTTGTTATTAGAGGGGCTGTTTTTGATGTTCCTGTCATCCTGTGGACCCTTGGTTTACTTTTATATCATCTTGTCTCTTTCAATGAATTTACTTCTGTTTCTTATCAAAAAAAAGAAAAAATTATGGTCTCTCATTGCAGGTACGAGAAAAATCATCAGTAGGAAAGGTGGTTATTGATGAAATTGCCGAATTCATACAAGAATCTTATCCAAAGAATGAGTCAGGAATAGTTTATTGCTTTTCTAGAAAAGAATGTGAACAGGTTCATATCTTTCAATTTCGTCTGTTTTTTGGTCCTTTTATTTCATTTCATTTGTTTCATCTTGATAGAGAGTTTTTTTATTGAATTAGTGATATTTCTTTAGTCATTTATTTGTTGGATTAGGAGGTGGCAGTTTCATGAAATTAGAATGATGTTAGAGTGTCTAACACTGTATTTGACTATACAAGTTGGACATGCAAATTAAATTCACCTTTTGAAATAGTTAAATGATAATAAGACAATTGTCAAAATCAAAGGATGATTGTGTATATAACTCTTTTAACCTGCCCTGACTTATTCTTGGTATTCAAGCACTCAAATAACAAGATGCTACATGCTAGGTCCTTTCAATCTATTTCACTACGGAACACTTAAAATGTTATAGTACAATGGATCATAACTCCTGAGTTGATTCCTGCTAAATTTGAGTCTCTCCCTTGGAATTGCCACCCTGTAAACACAATGAAATCATTTCCAAGACATCATCTGAAAACAACCTTAATACACATGACCTCCTATTTCCCAGGTGTTTTAGGTGCTCATTTTCTTTGAAGGTTGCTTTTTGATTGATGGGTTGAACTTTAATTTTCATTCTGAAACTTGAGATATCATTATTTGTTTTATTCTTAATATATATGTGTTTTAGTCTGTATTGGATGTATTAGGAAGTAGTATCTAGCATCTAGGCGGAGCAAATTTTTATTTCTAGCTCATTGTCAAGAGTTGTAGGTTGCTCAGGAGTTACGTGAGAGAGGAATTTCAGCTGATTATTATCATGCAGACATGGATGTGAATGTTCGTGAAAAAGTTCATATGAGGTACAAATATGTATTAAATTAATTTTTGGCTAAGAATGTGATGGAACCCAGCACTTTTCCAGTCCCCTTTTCACAACTCACACGCAACACACAGCTCAAATACAAGAATAGGAACTACCTAGATGTAACATTCAACAATATATCAGCATCCATTCAACACAACAGTTCAAAATAATGGAAAATGGTATATTAATCGTAAAAGAGGTTTTAAGAATAACAATGAGTCTGTTTGAGCATGAATAAAACAATAAAATAGTAACACCAGCTGGTCTTCGAGGGCCAGCACCTCCCACACCCAATTCATGCACAAAACAATTGATATCCTCTCTCTCTGGTACCACTGCCCTTTTATTCTGACATTCTGATTCTAACAACTCTAACAGCTAATCCAGACACCCGTCCTTGGGTAA